CGAGCGGGCGCGGGGCGCTGCCTCCCGGGGCGCAGTGAGCGCGGGGCGCGGCTTCCTGCGGGCTGCGGCGGCGGCGGCTCCCGGCTGCACCCGACGCCTCAGACCCGGGTGCTCGCCGCCCGCCAGGACTCAGTCCGGGTCCCCGAGCCCGCAGGTTCTTGTGCGCGGGGAAGGCGCCGCGGGGCTGGCAGGGAGGAGGCGCCGCCTGCACCCCTGGGCCGGGCCAGGCAGGGCCCCAGTGTGCACCTCCCCGGGCTTGGGCGCAGATCCGCACAGCCCGAGGCTCGGGACGGGGGAGGGCGGGGTCGGGGACGGGGAGGCCCGTGAGAGGGTCGCTACTGCGGTCCCGGTGCTCCGGATGCGCAGCAGTCTGCGTGGCGGTGCAGGGTCGCCTGCCTCCCTCCTGGCCCCCTCCGTCCCTGCAGGATCCCGCGACCCCCTCTCCCTTCAGTTCCCTTCGGGCTCTGCGGCCCCCAATCTGGAAGCCTTGTTTGACAGCGCCTAACAGGCAATTAGTGTCGGTTCCCAATCACTTAAAAGAGGCACAGCAGACTTTGAAACCCGGGAGTGTCCGTGCTCTGCCCACGCCGCCAGAAAAACAAATCGTGCCTAGCCATCTTTTTAAGTACTTTAACCTCCAACCTCCTCCCACTTCTTTGCTTTTTAACTTCTCCTTTGAGAGATGTGATTGTGTAGCACCTCTGTGCCTCAAAGCCTCTGCCTCTCTCTTCCTCTCCGTCTCTCGCTCTCTTTCTCTCTCTCATCCAATCCCTTTATCGCACATCTCCGCCCCCGCCCACCTCCAAAGATTTCTGGATCTCTGCGACTCTTCTGCAGTTAAGCTCAGATCCCTAATTCTTGGCCTCACTGCTCGCTGGCGAAGGCTCCATTGAAACAGATCAATTTGACCAGACGTTGGAGGCATCAGAAGATCGGCTTCTGAAATAGAGCAGCTAACTTATGGAAAGAAACAGAATGCCCAGTCGCTAGAGCCGCCAAGTGACAATGCAAAAACGCGGCGTCAGACCCGCCACCCAGCAGAGCTGCTGCGGGCGCAAAGGCGAGTTCCATGTAGCCTGCGGTGGTGCCGTTGCCCTGCGCAAGGCTGGCGCGCTCTAGCTAAGGAGGGTTGTGAAAATAAGTCACGCCGGCAACTAAAAAGCGAAATCCTCGAAAAGGTGTGTGCAGCGATTATGATAATGAAACGGGACCTGTTAGGATTTCAGGGCTTGGATATAGATGTAGAATTTTGTACAACCTCTTAGCAGAGAAAAATGGTTTATTGAATTGTCTGCTAAGTAAATTTTTGGCATAGCTTGTCGTAACATGTACTCTTCCTGAGACATTTTGCCCAAAGTAACTTAAGACTCCAAAGGAGTTAATTACTGGTTTATGACTGGTTAACAAATACAGTTGCTTCCACAGAGGTCCTGTAAATTATTAAACAGTTTGAAGCTAAGCCTTTCCAATGGGAACGCGGCGAATTTGCTCCACTTACTCTGTGCTGTTACAGTGCCACCGAGAAGCGAATCCTGAAACTGGCAAGCACCACCAAGTGGCAGAAGAGCATCATTCACGGAGCAGAGCTCTCTGCTATTGAATATGTAAATCAAATACATACATTGTGTAGTCTCATTGTTAGGTACCCAGGAATTACACAGGCATTAAATTTTATTGCAGTTAGGATTGGATGAGGGCTTCGACTCCTGCCCTACAGGGTCAAATCAGTTTACTTATTAGAATTAAATTATAAACCAGAACTTCGAATTGTATTCAGTTTTGTGCATTATATTATTAGTAGTCATATGATCCAATCATAACATACACTTGCAATGTTGTTATTTTAAAATAATACTCGGCATTGGTTTTCAATTTTCCTGAGCTAGAACACATTATGTGGGACATACTCTGGAACTGGTACAATGTGGTCAAGCTGCCATATTGTAAAGTAGAAGTAGCACAAGTAATTAAAAATACACAGTATGTATATTTCTACATTTTTTGCAGGAAACTAAAAAAATTTTAGAGATGAGGCTGGATGTAGCTCTGTGGTAGCCCACTCAGCGCTCGTGAGGAGGTCCTAGCTTTGATTCCTAGCACTGAAAAGAATTTTTTTTTCGTTTGGAAAGGACCTCATTCAAGAGGGGTCAGATTACTCCAAGCTTAATGAGTGTCACGTGGATGAAAAGGAGTTATTTCAGAACAACAATTTGAAATAAATAAAGCAGGAACAATAAGGTACACTGTCCATCAGAATCCCGTTTCTTTGTACCTTACAATGCTTTCTGATTGCTTCCATAATAGCGTACGGTACAGAGTGCCTCTTGGTGTGTCAGCACAGTACCATGCAGGAAGAGACATTGTTATTTAATCCCCGTAATGTCCCTATGATACAAAGAGTATCGCTGCATTTTATAAGGAAGAAATACAGCTTTTAAAAAATAAAGCAACTTGGGTCTCAGCAAAAGGCAGACTCCTTTCAGAACTCAAGGCCAGAAGTGTCACCCTGCCTTCTCAGCTCGTCTTATCCTTGGGGAAGAGACACTCAGGGGACTGTGGAGCAGCTCTCAGGAGGACTCCTTCCTCTTCTTTCTTTCAAGCATCAGTAAAACCCATTCACACTCCATCTCACACGTGGGTAACAAGAGCCAATGGCTTCCATGGCTGTTCAATCACACGAGCACTTGCACAACTGAAGACATGGTCCTAACTAGAGAGAATTCTCACTCCCAAAGCCTGGAGTTGGGCCCGAGGTCTATATTTTAGTATCTATCCTATCTTGAGGACTAAAGTATCACCTGTACCGAAATGACAAATGAAGGAGTGCAGAGATATTTGATCAGTTTTTACAGGCTCTTTGGAAGAGAGGCTTTTTTTGCCATAATTTTATTGATAAACAAATAGCAATGAGACAGTTTCAAATCAAATTGGTAGGACAGTTTCAATAATTAACACACTGTATACATTCTTCTTAGTGGTTAATTGCTGTACAAGATGTGGACTTGATATCCTATTTACAAACACCATTAGAACAAATCATTCTATTCATTAA